ATTTAAAATCCATCTAAGCTAGTTTTAATAATGTGGTCTTTTGATTAATTTTCTTCTTGCTGTTACACACTGGTCAAATATCATTGCATTCTGCAGACATACATTTTCTTAAGTCTTTTGCAGAGCTGGCACAGGGTATCATCTTACACTTATACCTTGACATCTTTTCTCTTTCTGATCTTCTTTTGTCCCATTAAACTGACAATAGAGATTTAAAGAAAATTCAGTTAAATAGTGAGCAAAGATGTCTCTCTTGGGAGTGACTTATCCCAGAATAAATTTTGGTGTCTTTGCTGGTGTCAGGTGCCTATCAAGCCTGGGCCACTGCTCTTTGAAAGTGTATCTTTTGATACTAGTAGAAGGATTGTTGGTGCATGCATAAAAAGCCTCAGGAAAATTTTACCAATTGGATCTGGAAAAGGATTGCCTTGGAAATATCTCACTATGTATGTAGTCAGGTAAATATAGCTTTTCTATTCAGCCACCTTATGTTGTAAGGGACTTACAAAAATCTTGCAGGGAAAGTATTTAAAGGTCTTTGAGCCCTAGGTCTTGCTATTTATCCTTGTTTGATACTCTAGTTCCACAAAATTTAGTGTATAATTAAGGCAAAATTAATACATCAGCAATCATGTCTAACACTATGCCAGAAAATTTACAGAAAAAAAATCACTTATCTGAGGGCTTGTTACTTCTTGATGTTACCTTGTCTGTTCCCAAATCCCAAATGGATTGTTTTAGGATCTATTAGTGGTATAATTAAAATTTCACAAATCTATTTCTAGAAATATAATTAGTGTGGAAAAAAATTTATATTATTAGAAATCTTTTAGGGACTAAAAAAATATTTGAATGCCTTTACTTCTTAGCTATAATCAACACAATTACTCAGGGTGGTTTTCCCTCAGATATACAGCTGTTCAAATGTAAATGCAGTTGTTCAAATGTAAATAGTATCATAATGGGAGGCACAAAACAGATATTTACAGTTTTCTGAAATTCCAGTCTGAAGCTTAAGCAACTTAGGCAAGTTCAGCCTGGGTTAGCATTCCTTGTGCAGGTAGAAGGTGCTCTCCTTGGATCACTGGGATCAGTGTTTGAGCTGGCACCACCTCCAGACCAAAGGTTTGGACTGCTGGGGGCCTGTTGAAACCCTTTAGCACTGGGCTGTGTTCCAGCCCACTGAAACCCTGGCACTGATGCATCTTCTCGACAATTCCAAGCAAAATGGTGTTGTGAGGAAACGTGTGAACGTCAGCATTAGCACCTAAGGGGGAGTGGGTTGCACTCAAGTAAGTGATGATTTAAAGAATGTTTTTGTGTCTGCAGGGGAAATGCAGCAGCACTGCAGCTTGAGCCCTGGTTTCCAATTAGGTGAAAGGGGAGATCTCCAATTCATGTTTTACCAAATATCTGGGAAGTTTCTGTTTTGTGGGGGCCAAACATGGCTGCCTGTACATCTTTATTTTATGGATTAACTGCATAAATACAGAGCATTTTTATATTGCATTTTTCTTCAAAGTGTTTTATAAATGTTGAATCCTATTAGGGGCAAGTCGGCCTCTGCATCACCCATAGTTACAGGTAAAAAAAGCCTCCAGCATCACCATCCACATCTGGTAAAACCAGAGCAGCCCAAATGGGAGCTGTTTTACAAGCAGTGGCATGTACTGCTCCCTGTGAGGCTTCTCAGGTTCTTAAAAAAATGTCTGAGAGAATGAAGCAAGCCCTGAAAGTTGGTTTCACGTACTCCTGTGGCTGCGGAGAGTAGGTCAGCTCTCTCTCTTCTCCAGGAGTTCATTCATGAACTCAGTCATGTCTTCTTTCCTGGATTTATGTGAAGGCAAATCTCCATTTTCTTTCCCCTAGTTTTACCATGAGTTTACATCATCTGATTTTAGTAACTATTCTGATTTCATAATAGTCAGTACTGACTGTTAAAGGTGATCACACTGCCTTAGAATATTCCCCAAGACCATGAGAATTCCTAAGTCTTAATGATACCTAATCTGTTCTGTGTGTTTCCCTCGAACAGAATATGCATATTTCCCAGTTCCTGTGAGACTGTCAAGGTAACTGCTAAATAATAGTTCTGTTCTGTAGTTTTGCCACTATCCATTTAAGTTTCTACTTTTCCACTCTCAAAGTGCCTGGCAAAGAGTGCATGAAAAACACAAAGCAGATGGTTATCCCAACACTACCTTTTAACTAGGTTTGGTAGAATTAGAGAAATGAGCCCACATCGTGCTCAGCATTTAGTACCATGTCCCTTTCCACTTCCAGATTTTAATCATTATGGTTTATTATGATAATGAAAACATTAATACTGTGTTTCATGATATATTCCCTGAAATCCTTGGCTGCCACCTGTCTTTCTGGAGCTGCTTCTTCCCTCATGTTACATGAACAGAGCAGTGATGCAAGAACAGATGGGGAATAACAATACTGGGGCTGGTAATCAAACAGGTGTGCTCAGTCCGTGCTCTTATGCTCTTTCTGTACTAGAGGACAATTTTGAAGGGACAGCAGTGCTGATCCCCCACATATGGACTTTTCCACATGACTCTAACCTTTCTAATCCTAAAGACTGATGAAAAAGCGATGTCTTGAAGGAGGTCCTTCTTCCAGATTAGAGATGTAAGAGCCCAAAGGAGATGGCAGCTGCTGAGACTGCTTCCATTTGAGGTATGGAGAAAGGTTAAAAATAACGTGCTGCAAAATACTGTAAGCTCTAGTGATATACATACAGCCATCATCTACAGACCATTTGTATGGCAATAGGTTAGACAGAGGTGGAAGGATTAACTTCTGTTTTTACAAATGCTTTGAATTACACCATTGGAAGATCTTTTTGTATTTTGCAGCATGTTTTGGTACCAGATCAAGCTAAATAATTGTGTATCATTAAGATGGCAGCTTTGTTCTTTCAATGGAGTTTAAATCTTACATTTCACAAACTCAGTGCTACCATGTACATACACACAGTAGTTGATAGAGGTCTAATCATCACAGCATTTTATTTGATTTCTGGAGTTCTCTGTAGGCCTTAATTCTTTTTTGTTTTGAAGAAAGTTCAACTTCTTTTGTGTAAGATTAAGTGAAAGAGTTACGATTGCAGATGTAAATTGTATAAAATTGAGTTTATTGTGCTGTAACAAAAAAGAAGGGAGGAAATAGGGCGAGAGGCTGAGCGTTCTGATGAGAAGAGTGAATGCTAGAAAAGCCTTATTGAAGTCTCAGTGCTTTTTTGAATCAGAGAAATTAGCTTATTGTGCAACATTTTTCTAAAGACACGTCCCACTTTATTTTGATGCTGTGTGTATATTTCATAAAATTAATTTGATTTAAAAATAGCTGGATAGCAGACAGCTGTTGTCACCTCTGTTGAAGATGTGCACTCCTAACACCTTGTCAGAAAATGACACCTAGCTCTTGAATGATTCCATGTAACACTTACCTCAGTTATATATGGAAAGGGATTGGGAAACAGTAATCCTCTTTTCTGGCTTGGTTTTTTGGTTTTTTTTAACTCCTAGTTTTAACCCTCCTACTTTTAGCTAGTTAGTATTTTCCCCCTGCATTTTTAACTTAAGGCTTGTACTAAGCTTATAAGCCCTTGCACTGATCTCAAGAGCATTTCCCAGTTTGGCTGTTCGAAGGTGCCAAGATACCTTTTGAATGCCCCAGCATGTCAATTAAAAACCTCCAGGTAACATTTGTGTTAGTGGTGGGCACAGTGAGAACCCACCACTCTCCTCGTGAGCACTTTTTGCTTAGTTCAGGAAAAGCAAGGGAGCTAGAAAACCAGTAAAAGCTGGATGGACTCTGTATTGGTAAGTAAGAGGGCCAGGAAATAGTCCCCTGGCCCATGAACTGGTGCCCTGACTGGCCACAGCTGCACCATGGTGGATCTCTGTGTGGAGAGTGAAAACTGCTTTAGACTTGTCCATGTTGTCTTCTGGGAATGTGCCTGTCCTGGGCAGTTCCTTGAGTTGTGTCTGGGACTGTGCTTAGGCCCACTTGGGTGGTGTGGGAAAGCACTGGGCCAGCACGCAAGCTTGCATCCTCCTGCTCCTCTTTAATTAGCAGTAGAGACAGGGGTGTACAAGCTGTAGTGCCGTGCCACCAATGCCAGCTCCTCAGCCACGGGCTGCAGAGCAACAGGCAACCGACCAGCAGTCGTGAGACATCTCCCCTCCCCATATGCAATGCTTACACTGCTGACAAAGAAAGGAAGGAGGAGAGTGGTTGTCCCATGGCTGTACTTGTCCCATGGCCCCTGTGTTGATGGGCGTGATTCCTGCAGGAAAAGCATCCCTTAGCTTCAGCTTGTCTCAAGTGAGAACAGATTCAGCTGTGGGAAGTCACATGAAGCTTGTTTTAGTGACTTACCTGGCACTTCCCTGGCTGAAGCATCTCAGTTCTGCAACAGCTTTAGTGCATCCCCAAGTTCCTCTTGTATCCAACACCACCCTCCACTCCAGCTCTGTCCAAGAGCCTGTACTTTCTGCTTTGACCAGGTACCACACACCCCTTCTAGTGGAGCTGGGCATGTTTTACCTTGCCTTGCTCCAACTTGTCAGGGGTCTGGCTCCTCAACATCAAGCACTGGTTACAGCCTTCTTATTTCTGCCAAGCTTGTTACACATGTATGTGGGTATTGACAAACCAACCTTAAGCCAAAAATAAGACTAGAGGTGACCCAAAACTTTCACAGGCTGTGGCACTGCCACCAGCTTGTCATTCTCTTGCCTCCACCACCACTTCTGGACCTAGGAATCTATTCTGACAAACACATTTTGCTTTTTACGCTTTTTTCTAATTCAAAATACAGAAATATATTATTTATATTATCTTAGAAGATCAAGTGTGCATGAGAAGAGGCAAAGACTGGAATTATTAAAAAAAAAGACTAGAAGGTATAGGCAAAAATTCTTTAAAAATATTTTAAGTCATTCCAACTGGCAGTAAAACGCCTCTTCATTAACTGTGACACTTTGTGCAGATGTAAAATAGAAGCTATTTTTATTTGAGAACTAACAATGAATGCTTCCTAAATGAACAATGGACAATTAAATGGGGAGAACAAATGAAAAAATTGTAGGAGGAGACATTCCTTTCAGGTACAAGATAATTACAAAGTCTTTCACAAGACAGATTATTTCTAGGTAGAGTTTGAAGACAAATGTTAACCAACAGAAGAAAAATCCTGCTTACCAAGGGAAGCATACATGATTTCAAAATAAACATTTTTATTTGTCTAAGGTTAACCAAATAAATGAGATTTCAAGGCAGCAGCTGAAAATGCTGACAGGTATGACTGAGTTACATATAGAAACAGGAGTGTGTAACATTTGGGGTGACACTGTCTGGAAATGGTCCTGGCCCTGACATGCATCTCAGAATAATCTAGCTGAGGTTTTAGTTTTTAAGACAGACTATTTAAAACATTTTTCAAGAGGGTCTTTTTATTGGAAAAAACATCCCCATAGGCGGGGGGTTTTTCAATAAAGAACCTTTAAGGGCAATTCTGTGAAAAGGGATCTTCCCGCTTCTCAAAATTCACATGAGAACATTGTTGTATTTTTCCTTTAGCTCCAGCTCCACTAGAGAGGCAGCCACAGAAGATGCATTTCACTTGCTGTCTGGCTCTGGAGTGCTGCTCCACCATCCCTGGCTGTCCTTGTGGAGTGAAGCAAGACTCTCCAGTCAATTCTTACCTTGGCCTGGTGCAGGAATGGGAGTCAAGAACAGGGGGTGGTGAGATGTAGGGGGGGAAGGAGCAGGCTCTAGAGACAAAGAGGGGGACAAAGGGCACCCCACCTTCTTGAGATCCCCAAAAGGAACTCTGAAGGAGAATTCCTCCTGGAAGAGCCTGATCCAGCATGCACTTCTATGATGCCTCACAAAACCAGCTATGTCTTAAAGTCCACCTGCTCCCAGAGTTCAGGAGTTGTTGCCTCTCTTCTTCTCAAGAGCTTTCATTAGGTCAGACATGAAATCTGCTTGCCTGCCTCCAGCTCCAGTGGGAGGTGGCCCAGCTGACCTTGGCTCTCCATCTGCTCCTGTGTTTTCTAGCCTTTTTGGAGGAAGAGGCACAGGTTTCTTTGCTGGAGGTGGTGGCGGCTTACTGGAGACAGGTGGAGGTGGAGGGGGCACTGGTAGGTCTCCATTACTGCTGCTGGAGACTGGTGGTGGTGGAGGCACAAAATCAGGAGGTGGGTCACAGAAATCAGACGGTGGTGGCGGTGGAAAATCAATCATCAGTGTAGGTGGTGGGGCTGGAAAGCTCTCTGGATCTGTTAGGAAAATGCCGCTGTCTCGTTTCACTTTGGGGGGTAGAACTGGTGAAGCAGAAATAGCAGATGATCGCCTTTCAGGTGGAGGAGGAGGCTGCAGTGAGTTCCTCTTAATCAGGACTGACTGTGGCCTCAGCAATGACTGTGCCATGCCAGGTGCACTGATGTTACTTGAGTTAGCCTTAAATAAGCAGAAAAATAAAAGGACAGACACAGTCAGTGGATGTGTAAACTAATGCCACTGCCTAAGAACAGTGAAAAGATATGAAAATACACAAGAAAAGTGTAGTAGAGAGTGAAACAAAGTAGAGTGTATTTTGTCTGAAAAGTGAAAATAGTATTCTGTTTTCTTTCCAAGCTGCCCACAGAGTTTTGACAGTGGAAAACCCCCTGTTGGCAGTATGGATAATGCATCTTCAAGTGCTTTAGCACAAGATGAGTGCTTTTAAAAGCACAAGATGAGTGCTTTTAAAATTTCAAATAATTGCAGTTAGTAAGACTAACATCAAGTATCTTTATTTACCTGACGTTTACTACAACAAGAAAGTAAAGATACTTTCTTGATGTTCCATCCTGCTGTTCATTCCCTCAGAACTTAAGGAAAATTGCCAACCTGTGCTGTGTTTTTACATCCCAAAATACTGAGCAAGATTTAAGAACATAAAAAGCAGATGTAATTTTGGATCTTGTCCTCATTGTGTATCTCCAGCTCCCTTTTTATCTGTGATGGCTGGATCTCTGGATAAAGCTAAACTAATGAAGTCAAAATTCTCTGCCAAATCCATTAGACACAACAGCAGTGAATGGAGAAGAAGGTGAAGAGATTTGGGCATTTAAAGTGCCTGGATTCACTGTCCCTGGCACTCTGCAGCACGGTGTGACATGCCCTGACCCGCAGGGTACTGCCTGGGCCTCTCTGTGCAAGAGGGAGCACAGCAGGGAAAGATTCTCCACAGGCAACCTAGCAAGGGCCACTGACAAGCCTGGAGAAAGTGTCTTCTGCCTCCTGGACGAGGCACATGCACACACTGCTTCTGCTTTTGAATTCAAAATGCAACAAACAGGTCCCTGAAGGCACTAAGTTCTACCCATGACTACTTGTGACCCAAGGACATGAGACATTCCAACCCTTTGACAACTTTTTTGAAGTAAAAATTACTAAAAGGATCCATCATACAAGTTAAGAAAAATAAAATGTAGGATACCAAATCATTATGGAGATGTTAACTTTGACCAAATTTTAGGTGGATTTTCTTTTTAAATTGTGTTTGCTAGTTGACACTGAAGATAAATAAAGTCCATTTGGTGATAATCTGAATTCTTTTTTTTTTTAGGTAGGAACTGGTAGCTGTTGACAGTTACTACACAAATTTTTT